TCTCTAAAAATGGCGAATGCTAGTGATTTTTCTCGCGCTTGTGATGCACTAATAGAGTTTGAAGAGCGGTTTAATCAGACTCCAGGTGCAAATCACTCTGTTTTTTCGCTTGAAATACAGAAGGAGGAGCTTAAGGCACTGTGGGCAAAAGTCAAAGATTCTTTCGATTCTTATTCGCGGAATTTGTCTGATGACAATACGGGTGTTGCGGCCATGAGTTTAGCCAAATGTAAATACCAGGATTGCTATTCAGCATACCTGACTTGTGCGGCGTTGATGGGTGAAACCATTCATAATTTGACTTTTGCTCAGCCAAGCTCCTCCACGTTTAACCCCATAAACCGTGAGCCTGAGCCAATACCGCGATCAAGCCTTCACCTTCCTCCATGCGATACGGAGATTTTTTATGGTGATTATATGGCGTGGCCATCCTTTAGGGATTTATTCACGGCCATTTATATAAATAATTCGCGGTTAACTCCGGTTGAGAAATTGTACCACCTCAATCAAAAGACCCGTGGGGAAGCTAAGGATATCGTGAAAAAGTCCCCGTTGACCAATGATGGTTTTGCGATTGCGTGGCAAAACTTGAGCGATCGTTATGAAAATAAAAGAGTTATGGTCAATAGCCAGTTGAAGACATTATTTAACTTGCCCACGGTAACAGTTGAACGTGGGACGGATATTAAAAACTTGCAGCGGACAGTGAATAATTGTATCGCAGTCCTGCAAATGTATGGCATTGATATCGCGAACTGGGATGCTATATTTGTGTTTTTAGTTTCCAGCAGATTACCAGACAACACTTTAGCTTTGTGGGAGCAGGGAATCGTTGACAAAGCTGAAATTCCGAGGTGGGAGGATTTGGATAACTACCTTTCGAGTAGGTATCAGACCTTAGAAACAGTTTCGGACATTCAAAGCACACGAGTGCCTAAGGCAGGACCAATGCGAGCACCAGTGGTGCCGTTTGGAAAAAAAATAACGGCCCATCATACCCATTTTACGCAGCCTGCATGCAGGTTGTGCTCAGACCAGTCCCATGCATTGAAATCATGTCCCAAGTTTTTAGCGATGAAGGTAGACGATCGGTGTAAGGTAGTTAGAAAATATAACTTATGTATGAATTGCCTAGCACATTCTCATATAGCGAGGAATTGTAAGAGTACTTTCAATTGCTTGAGTTGCCATCAGCGGCACCACTCACTCTTGCACCGAACTCAAGCTGGAAACAGCACTACGGCCACAAACAGGAGACCTTCTACGGGAAATGGAGAGGCACAGCAGCCTAATGCCGCATCAACATCCGGTAATGTAACCGCTCTGTTTGCTGCTAGTGCTAAAAACATAATTTTGGGTACGGCTATGGTGCACATTAGGCACTTAGGGGTGGATTATGAAGCTAGGGCTCTTCTCGATTCGGGCTCAGAAGGGACTTTCATTACAGAGCGGCTGCAAAGACTCATCAATCTCCCGACGCGACCCGTTGACACAAATATATGTGGAATAAATGCGACACTATCGGCTAAGGTGCGAAAGCTCGCACAGTTTGTTTTAGGTTCACCTGCCGAACCCCAGTTTAGAATTGAGGCAAGAGGCCTGATTCTACCCCAACTGACAGGAAACCTCCCCCAGATTTCAGTTGACCAAGCAGATCTTGGTCTACTGCCCCCTATCGAATTAGCTGATGTTAATTTCCACAAAAGTCAACAGGTCGACATGATAATTGGTGCGGACTTGTATCCAGCTATTATGAAAGAAAAAATTAAGAAACATGTTTTGGGTACCCTTTTGGCACAGGAGACAGTTTTTGGTTGGGTATTGACAGGTCCTGTTCCTCAGACTACTCGGACAGGTGCTCCCTGTATGTCTTTTTTCAATGAAATTTCCAGCTCTCAACTAACCCGCTTCTGGGAACTTGAGCAAGTTCCGAGTAAAAAACAGGTTACTCCTGAAGACGCGTTTTGCGAGAAACATTTCGCAAAGACAACGCTGAGAAATGACCAGGGTCGTTATGTAGTAGCATTACCGTTTCGACAGGAGTTCCCAGCAGATATCAGTCTTGGATATTCGCGGACGAGTGCAGCGCATCAATTTGTTCGCAACGAAGCATCGATGATAAAGAGACCAGAGCTGAGGGAGGAATATCATCGTGTATTACGAGAATACATTACGCTCGGTCATATGAAGCCAGTGGACAGCACCGTGAGTGAACCTTTATCAGGGACATACTACTTGCCTCATCATGCAGTCATCAAACCGGACAGCACCACTACCAAGGTTCGAGTGGTGTTCAACGCATCAAGTCCATCTTCGAATGGGGCTAGTTTAAATGATGTGCTCTACCCAGGCCCAGTTTTGCAGGCCGATCTCGTCGCCTTGCTATTGAAGTGGCGATTTTTCAAATATGTTTTCAACGCGGACATCGAGAAGATGTATAGGCAGATTCAGCTGCATTCATATAACACGCCATACCATAGAATTCTTTTCAGAGAATCCCAAAATGAGGCGCTGGTGGATTATGAGTTGCAAACGGTGACGTTTGGTGTCAACTGTGCCCCGTATCTGGCAATAAGAACTCTTCTCCAATTAGCAGAAGACGTTAGTTTGCAGTTTCCACTAGCTTCCAGGGTTTTAAAGCAGCATATGTACGTGGACGACGTACTTGCTGGAGCTCATGATACCGAGACAGCAATTCGAACGCGCAATGAACTCATAGATGCGCTGAAGGGAGCTGGATTTCCACTCCGGAAGTGGACATCGAACTCCAGGGAAATCCTGTCAGCTTTGCCAAAGGCTCATCTTCTGAAGGAGGATTTTTTGGAAATCGACGATGTGAGCGAGGCGAGAATGTTGGGAATTCGATGGAATGCTGCTCACGACATGTTTCACTTCAACGTGCAAGAGATCCCAATAAAACCATGCTACACCAAACGGGAGGTTTTATCGTGTGTGGCAAAATTATTTGACCCTGCAGGGTGGTTGGGCCCCATTGTGGTAGAGGCAAAAATTCTTATGCAAGACATATGGCTAACCAAGATAGATTGGGATGATAGTCTACCTCGAACCCTTTACCAGCGGTGGGAAAACTTTCTTAGAAATTATATCCATATTTCAGAGATAAAAATTCCAAGGTGGATAAATTTCACACCTTGGAATGAAATTGAGTTTCATGGATTTTGTGATGCCTCAGAGAAGGCGTATGCGGCAGCGCTGTATGTAAGAGTACGCGAACGTAATTCAAATAAGACCCCGTATGTAAATTTGCTTGTAGGTAAAACAAAAGTAGCCCCAGTAAAAACCGTCTCTCTACCGCGATTAGAGTTGTGCGGGGCACTACTTTTGGCAGAACTAATAAATGCTTTACTTCCGCAGTTTGACGTAGCCCAGCCAGTGATCTACAAGTGGACCGACTCCACCATCGTGCTCTCGTGGCTCAGGAAGCCTCCTTGTTGTTGGACCACTTTCGTGGCGAATCGGATCGCAAAAATCGATGAACTGGTTGGTGTGAGAGGATGGAATCATGTGGAATCGAATGATAACCCAGCAGACCTCGGCAGCCGCGGCGTCCCACCCCAAGAACTGGTAAAGAGCACACTTTGGTGGCAGGGCCCAAAGTGGTTGAAGGAACAACCATCGGAATGGCCAAAAAAGATGGATGAGAGGTCCATGGAAACGGATTTAGAGCAAAAAGCCGTGCGCGTTCATACAATCACCACACAGCCGTCGGATATTTTGGAAAGATTTTCAGATTTCTCTCGAGCACTGCGGGTATTAGCACGGGTTTTTCAGTTTTATTACAAAACGCATCCCGTACACAAATTGATCCAGCGAGAGGAAACGACCCAAGTGACTTCCGATGAAATCCGCCAGGTAAAAATGCGCTTGATTCTCTTAGCGCAGAAGCGATGCTATTCCACCGAATACCAGGCACTTGAGGCATCAAGCCCAGTGGGGGTAAAGAGTCCACTCAACGCTCTCAATCCCTTTCTCGATAGAAATGGAATCATGAGAGTTGGAGGGAGACTGGCTCTAGCGGAGTTGCCATATAATGAACGCTATCCAGTGATTTTGCCGTACGATTGCCAATTTTCTCGACTTTTAGTCAGATTCTCACATCTGATTTCCCTGCATGGAGGAAATCAACTCATGCTGAGACTTCTGAGAGCAGAATTTTGGATCATACGGATGAAAAATTTAGTAAAAAGCGTTATACATAATTGTAAAGTTTGCCTTATTTACAGAAAAAAGACACGAGAGCAACTTATGGCAGCACTCCCACGTGAACGAACGGAGATTTCCCGGCCCTTCACCAATACTGGCCTGGATTTTACCGGGCCGTTCGAGATAAAAAACTATACCAGCAGAGCGTGTCTTATAACCAAGGGATATGTTTGCGTTTTCGTGTGCTTCGCGACGAAGGCAATACACCTGGAAGCAACGAGCGATCTATCGACTTCCACCTTTCTAGCGGCATTTTCAAGGTTTGTGGCAAGGCGCGGTTGCCCTCGGAGTGTGTACTCGGACAACGGTACGAATTTTGTAGGAGCTAATAAAGCATTAAGGCAGGACTTCCGAAACTTTGTAGCCGAAATTTCCCGCCTAACCACCCAGTCGTTTGCTCATCAAGAAATCGACTGGCACTTCATACCACCGGGAGCCCCACATATGGGAGGGCTGTGGGAAGCAGGAGTGAAGAGTTTTAAAACCCACTTCCGTAAAGTGGCGAATACCATGCGTTTTACAATGGAGGAGTTCTCCACTTTGCTAGCAAAGATCGAAGCCTGCCTAAATTCGCGACCAATTAGTCCGCTTTCCGACAACCCCGAATCCACAGAACCCCTCACACCAGGACATTTTCTGATTGGCACCCCGTTACTCGCGATTGCCGAACCAGAAATTAACGGGAACCCGCTGTCAATCGTAAACCGATGGCAAAAGATCAAGGCAATTCATCAAGGATTTTGCCGGCGATGGAAAGAGGAATACCTACACAAGAGAGTCAAGTGGCAACACCCCCAACGAGACATCGAAGTCGATGATTTCGTGGTTATCAAAGAGGATAACCTACCCCCGAATGAATGGCGACTTGGCAGAGTTGTTAAGGTTTTTTTAGGTCAAGATAAACGCGTGCGAGTCGTAGAAATACGTACAACGCGAGGCATAATTACGCGACCAATCGTGAAATTAGTGCGACTGCCGTTAGTAAACCCAAATTAACGAGTTCTTTTCTTTCCAGAAAAATTTTACACTATGGTTCGAGCCAACAACAACGCTACTCAAAAGCAGCATCGATGCCCTATCTGCAAGCAGAACCACCGTTTGCAATTCTGCCGCCAGCTTCGTCGAATGGAGCCCGAGGAGAGACTGCGTGCTGTCCTCCTGTGTCGCCACTGTGCTAACTGCCTGTCGTCACGTCATATGGCCAGTAGCTGTCCGTCAACGCGCAACTGCGACCGCTGCCGAGAACGGCACCACAGTCTGCTCCATCTGTGGGAAACTCCCAGACGTGAGGAAGACGTGCCACTCGACCTCAACGTGACGGACGGTCGGCGAAGACGGCAACCCCGCCCATACCGTGCTCGGGCATTGACGGAGTCCAGTGAGGAGGTACTGGAAATAGATGTCAGCGATGAAGACATCCAGCAAGTGAATGAAGGTTCGCCTGACACGATCGAGCCACCGATACTCAGACCACCTCTGTCGGGTATCCGGTCGGCGATACAGCACCCCGCCAGGTCAACGAAAAAAAGGCATCGACAGTCTCGACAACGAAGACGTAATCCGCAACCGCGGCATCGCCGGGGTATGAGAGACGCCCGAGAGCGAATTCGTGGATCCGTCCGACGTGCTCAGGGCTCATCTGTCCTCATTCCTACGGTGCTGCTAAGAGTGATGTCCAGGGGAAGAAGCCAGTCTGTTCGGGCCATCGTCGACCCAGGGCAACCTGAATCGACAATCGCGAGAGCCCTCGCGCGGAGGTTGCACGCATTACCACGCTGCGGAAGTGACCATTGCACTTTAACCCTGAAAGGGTGGAATGAGAGGTTAGAGATCCGGGCAAGGGTATTACCAAGCCTGACGCGAACCGCCCCAGAGCGCACAGTCGACGCGCGTGTGGCGGGCGAATTCGACAATCTGCGCTTAGCCGATCCAGCCTTTTACCGCTCGAGTGCGATATCAATGGTATTGGGAGCCGACGCATATGCGGTAAGTTTGCGTCCCGGTTTGATGCCCGCGACACCCACTAGACCAGCCGCGCAGAATACGATATTCGGATGGGTCATATCAGGAGCAACCCCCTATGGCTGGAGCTGAAGAAGAGGCCGACTAGTTAGCATTTAAACAAAAATGAATTTATTGAATTGTGATATGTCATTTGAATTTTTGAATTTTGGATTAATGAATTAGTTTATTTTATATTGCAGCGATCCTGCAAGGCGGGCGGCATGTTTAGGCCTGCATTTTAGGGTTAAGTTTAGCATACAAACCTCACC